CCTTTTGTTATTTGTTCATCTTTAAACATTGTGTTGATTGTTTTTATGGCCATGAGTGGCTAAAACCCTTAGCGATTTTTGGGTGAATTTGTTTATGAACCTATGTGCCCAATTCATTAATTTCTTAATATATTTATGTTTGGTTTTATGATTTGTGTTGCAATCATGTTTTAACCTGTTGTTGTTGGTAATTAATAAAGGCCTAAATTACTTTCTTCATAACCATATTTGTGTCACCAACGAGAGTTGGGTCATAAATTAGGGCACACACGATTGCACCTAATGGTTGGACCTTGGGAAAGGGGAATTTATTGGGAGAATCTTATTCTAGATTGTTGCGCATCGAGAGATGGTAGTAATTGGGAATAATTGAATGCTGACCTTCGATCTTATCGGGTGTTTAAGCCACGGGAGTTAAAATTCACTTGGGCACTACTACAAATTTGACCATAAATATTAGGCTATTAGCATCTGTCATTTGGAACATTTCTTCTACTAGTACCCACTCAAGACTATACACAGATTGGAGATGCCTTTGGAAGTTTTGTACAATGGCCTATACATTTAGTTGGTATAGGAGAGGTGTTATAATAATAATATTATTATTATTATATTAAACCAAGTTAGATGAGTTAGTTTGTTAGAAATAATGGAAGGTGCAGTACTTGGATCATGCATTAAGTCAAATGGAATGTGGCCTTGATGTTAGTTGTACGTGGAGCACTATATTAGCATTACAGGGAGCATTTCCTAATCTTTAGCTTTGTTAGGCTTTGTTAGTTAATTATCATTAGTATAAATAGTCTTTGTATTCAAGCATTCTAAATCAATCAAGTGTTAAGCATTCTTCCCCCTCTCTCTCTTCTCAAATATATATTATATATATATTATAGATATATTATATTATATTTAATATATATTATATTAAATATATTATATTTAATATATCTAACATTTGGTATCAGAGCCAGTCAATTCAACCTTTCAACCCCGAGATATTTCCCTTAGTGAAATATGGCTGCAAATTTCAATATAGTATGGACGGGTCCCAAATTGGACGGGAAACTCGATTACAATTATTGGCAAATTATGATGTCCACACATTTGCAAGCTCAAAATCTTTGGAGCTTTGTTGATCCCGGTCTACCCGAAGGAGCTGATGCAGCCGCTATACGGCGAGATAAATTGGCCTTGGGTCAGATTCACCAAGGTGTTCATTATTCCATTTTTGGGCAATTAGCTCGTGCTCAAACAGCAAAACAAGCTTGGGACATCTTAAAGGTGTCAAATAAAGGAGTCGATCGGGCACAGAAGTCTAAGTTGCAGTCATTGAGAAGGTTGTACGATAATTGTGAGATGACCTCTACAGAAATAGTAGATGCGTATTTCACTCGTCTTATTGATATGGTGAATAAGATGAGGCTATATGGAGATACGATTGAAGATGGTGCAGTGGTTGAAAAACTTCTTCGAACTATGCCGATGAAGTATGACCATGTGGTGGCTTCGATCACAGAGTCACACAAAACTGAGCTCTTATCAATTGCAGAGCTGAAAGGTATGGTAGAAAGTCATATTGACAGGATTGCGCCAAAATCGGAACCACTAGCAGAAGAAGCTTTGAAGAGTCAAGTCACCCTTAATGTGACTGACACTAATCAAAGAGGTGGAGGATCTGGTAGAGGTCGTAGAAGAGGAAGAGGAGGTTCTGGTGGAAGAGGTCGTGGTAACTTCAACCAAGGAGGAGGACGTGGTAACTCCAACCAAGGAAGAGGTAGGTGGAGGTAATACCAAACAAGGTAAATTTCCATTTCATTGCTACAATTGTGGCAAGTATGGGCACAAGATTGCAGATTGTTGGTATAATGAGGACAATCGTGGAAATCAAGCAAATATTGCTGAAAACACTACTAAAAAGTCTGGTGAGAGTTCTGAAACCTTACTTTTTGCCAGTGATAGTTTTTCTGCAGATAAGAACATATGGTTCTTGGATACTGGGTGTAGTAACCATATGTGTGGGAAGAAAGAATTGTTTTCTGAACTGGATGAATCAGTTCGGTCTGAAGTGATATTTGGCAATAAGTAAAAAGTGCCAATTTTTGGAAAAGGTAAAATCTCTATTCAGTTGAAGGATGGTACTCACAATTTTATATCCGATGTGTTCTATGTTCCTGAACTACCCCAAAATTTGTTGAGTATGGGTCAGTTGTCAGAAAAAGGATATAAGATACATATTGCTCAGGGGTGTTGTACCATTGCAGATGCTAAAGGAGTTTTGATTGCAAAGGTAAATATGTCCCAAAATCGACTATTTCCTTTGAAAATTAAGCATACTCTCCTTGCTTGCTTTAATTCTGAAGTTTGTGATGATAATTGGTTATGGCATATGCGGTTTGGGCATTTTCATTTTTCTGGGTTAAACTATCTTGCGAGAAAGGAACTTGTTTCTGATTTACCTGTTGTGAATGTCCCTGATCGTATCTGTGAGATTTGTGTGATTGGGAAGAAGCATAGAGATCCCTTTCCCGTGGGCAAGTCAAGGAGAGCTACAAAACAGTTGGAGATTATTCACTCAGACCTGTGTTCGTTGGAGGTTCCCTCACATGGAGGTTGTAAGTACTTTATTACTTTCATTGATGATTCCAGTAGGAAAACATGGGTTTACTTTCTGAAGCAAAAGTCTGAAGCATGTGATGTTTTCAAACAATTTAAGACTTTTGTTGAAAAGCAAAGTGGTTATGAGATTAAAATCTTGAGAACTGATAGAGGTACGGAATATATTGCTTGTGATAATTTTCTGAAAGAAAAGGGTATTCAGCACCAAATGACAGCTAGATACACTCCACAACAAAACAGAGTGGCTGAGAAGAAGAATAGGTCAATCATGGATATGGTGAGGTGCATGTTGAAATCCAAGAATCTGCCTAAGCCTTTTTGGGCAGAAGCTGTTGCTTGTGCTGTCTATGTGTTGAATAGGTGTCCAACTAAAAGTGTGTGTGATAAGACACCCGAAGAAGCTTGGAGTGGGAGAAAACCCTCTATCAAATATCTCAAGGTTTTTGGATGTTTGGCATGTGCACATGTGCCAGATCCATTGAGAAAGAAGTTGGATGATAAAGGTGAGAAATGCATATTCATTGGTTATAGTGACGCTTCAAAGGCTTATAAACTATACAATCCTGAAACTAAAAAGGTTGTTATAAGTCGTGATGTCACTTTTGATGAATATGGTGCTTGGGATTGGTTAGCTAAAGATGAAAGTTCAGTTGTTATTCCTGTTGTTGAAAATATTGTTGATGAGCAACCGATTCCAGATAATGTCCAGTCTCCTTCACAGCCAGAGTCGTCAGTTCGACGATCTCAGCGCGAGCGCCACTTACCAGCTCGCTTGCAAGATTATGTTTTGGGTCATGATAATGACCTGTCTGATGAAGAGATTGTTCAATTTGCTCTCTTTGCAGATTGTGATCCTTTAACTTTTGAGGAGGCTGCTACAGAAACTCATTGGCTTAAGGCGATGGATGAGGAGATTCGTGCCATTAAAAAGAGTGGTACTTGGGAGTTAACAGATGTACCTCTTGGGAAGAAGCCAATTGGAGTAAAGTGGGTTTACAGAACGAAATACAAGTCCGTATATCCAACTTGAAGACGAAGACATTTCTTAAATTGAAGAAGGAGATATTGGGATGACCAATATATCCAACTTGGTTTAAAGGAGGCAATGTTATAATAATATTATTATTATTATATTAAACCAAGTAAGATGAGTTAGTTTGTTAGAAATAATGGAAGGTGCAGTACTTGGATCATGCATTAAGTCAAATGGAATGTGGCCTTGATGTTAGTTGTACGTGGAGAACAATATTAGCATTACAGGGAGCATTTCCTAATCTTTAGCTTTGTTAGGCTTTGTTAGTTAATTATCATTAGTATAAATAGTCTTTGTATTCAAGCATTCTAAATCAATCAAGTGTTAAGCATTCCTCCCCCTCTCTCTCTTCTCAAATATATATTATATATATATTATAGATATATTATATTATATTTAATATATATTATATTAAATATATTATATTTAATATATCTAACAAGAGGTATGAACTTTTTTTTTATATATATAATTTATTGGATTCCTATTATTTGTAGCTATTAACATAATTACAAATTCTTCTCTTCATAGGAAGAGATAGTGATGAAGGCAAAAGTTGAAAAGAGAACAATGAATGAAAAGAATTATGACTATGGAGAGGAATCGTGTACTAAAGTACGACCCAATTTAGTTGATGATGATACCTTGAAGAGCTTGGGGTTTGAGTGTAATTGGTTGCACAATTTGCTTCGATCGATGCCTAATGATACGGACTACTTTGAATTGGAGTTAGATTCTAATATCTTTCACCATACCAATGTGAGAAGCATATTCGTGATGATGAATGATATTAAAGATTTGTTGACAATGCAATGGCTTGATGTATCCATTATACAAGTCTTTATAATGTAAGTTTGTATATTCGTTTATTTGAAAATCTTAATTATTTAGTAATGTATTACTTAATGATATTAGTGTATTTTTTAATGATTTTTCAGGTATCTTCACCGATTGTGCAATCAAATTGGGGTTGACTTAGTTGGATTTTTGTGTCCAACACAAATAGCAAAGGCAACTCTTGATTTGAATTGTGATGTTGTTACTGCATATATTGGAAATACTATGGTCACATTGCAGGACAAGACATTCATTTTAGCACCATACCATCAATCGTAAGTAATCTATTTTTCTGTTGTGTTTATATAAGTGAATTTGAATTATTACATACTAATTAAATGTGCAATGTATGTATTTATAAATTGTAGAGAGCATTGGTTGCTTCTAGTGATTAATGTTTGTTCGAGGATGGTATATGTTTTGGATCCTTTGGAACGTGACCAGGATATACAACTCAAGCCTGTGGTGAATATGTAAGTAAAAGTATATTTGTATATAAAGTTATTTATATTAGGTGTTATAATTTATGAATTGTGTTTATACATTAATGTTATAGGGCATTACGATCATATATGTGTCAACGGGGTCAAAGAGCAAAAAATCTTGCTCAATGGAAGAATGTTAAGGTAAAATAAAACAATGCTTACTAGCTTTTTTTTTTTTTTTTTTTTTTTTTTTAGTTGTTAGCTTGATTACAAATGAAATAATATTTACTTTATTTTCATTTGTTTTTTTAGTGCCCTCAACAACCGGGAGGTGTTGAGTGTGGATACTATGTTATGAAATATATGCATGATTTATGCACAAAGTATTCCACATATACTTCTTTGGATAAGGTACATATAAAATGATATAACCTAAGTATTTTTTTAATAAATTAATTATAATTTATTACTGAAACAATTAATAATTCTTTTGTAGGTATTTCAAGATCGCACAACGCCATACTCTATTGAAGAAATAGACGAGATTCGTGAAATGTGGGCTAAGTATCTAACTCTATAATAAAGCAAGAAGTTTTGCCAATCATTGTTTCCCGCCCAATGAAAACGACGCAGTTTTGGTTTATTGATATTTATCCATCTAAGAGGTTATTTGTTATGCGCGTGTTATGTGATTATGCATTGGTAGTACGCACAGCCGTTTTCAAAAGGCAACTATTCGTATTAACTTAGCATACACTCTTTGGTTCCCAAGGAGTTCAATTAATGTAGAACTCTTGGAAGTTTAAACAAAATAAATATTAGAAACGCATCAGGCCTACAATTTCGAAGATACATGCAAGTAAATAACAAGAGAATATTATATATATTACACGGAATATGCAGAGTTGCAATCTACAAATACACATTCAATGAGATGTGCGAATTCCAAAACATTGGCTGCTGCTCAAAATAATTGGCAAATTTGAATTATGAACCTGTATAAATACCCCGGTTCTTCATGGCAAAAATCCTTCACACATTAAGTTCAGTTTACTTCCTTTTCGAAATAGTATTGGTCTGTCAAGATGCAAAGCATGTTCATTGCTGTCAAGAACATCAAGCCGGAACACCAGCTCAGGGCAATCCGGGTGAGAGCAGTAAGGGTCTATGAAGTGCCTGATAAAAGGGGAGAAGGGCAGGCCAGTAAGCGCATGGAAGTATTGTTCCATGATGAAGAGGTAGTGTTCTTTATTTTCAAAAAAATCATATTCATGCTATCTACAAATCTAATGGTCTATAAATGTGTATAAATGTTTTTTAGGTTTTTGCCGGGGAGACTACATTCATCATATGCTATCTACTAACCTAATGATCTTTTGCTGTGTAAAATTTTTTGTCTATTTTATTCGCAGGAAGACTACATTCATGCCAGTATTATTAAAAAGGACATTGGAAAGTATAGAGATATAATCAAAGAAGGGAAAGTATTTGAAATCAAGAACTTCATGGCTTCTACAAACTACTATGTCTACAAGATTACAGAACATGACTTCCTAATCAAATTCAACTATAGAACACAAGTGAAGGAGATACATTCTAATGGCTTTCCTTGCAAAATGTTTCGGCTAAAGAGTTTTTTGGCTTTGAAAGATCCTGCTGATGTGAATGACAAGGAATTGATTGGTACTTCCTTAATCTATTTTTAGTAGTGTTTTCTAATATTTTGTTAAATTGGCAGATGTGATTGGAAGGGTGGTTGAGGAGGAAACAAACAGTGATGCAATCTCTGAAGTAAGCCTTTCATAGCCTTACTGCTCTAGAATAATTCTTTTTTATGATGGTGGCTAAATTGGTTTACTGATTCTGTTAATAATAGGAAGCCTCTATTGGAGTGGAAGTTAATAGTCCTGCCTCTATTCAAGCCTCACAAAAGGAAGTAGATGACAGTGCTGACAACTCTGGAGATATTAAAAGGTCACTTTTTGGATGAGTTTTCATCATCCAAAAGTAGGAAGAAGTTGAAGGAAGCACAAATTAAAAAGGAAAAAATGTAATTGTGACCTTGGTTGAAACTGATTGTTGTGGACCTGCCCTATCCAGACTTAAAGACTGTTTTTTTTTGTTCTTATTATGGTTTATTTAATCCTGATGATCTCTAAACAATATTTTTTAGTTCTAATCCTGTTCATCCCTCATTATTAAAGATTATTTTTGGGATATTTTCTAATTATGGTTTACTATCTTGATGAGATTGCCTAATCATTGTTACCATATATTGGTGCCTCTACTGCTACTATTATAAGCTGTTTTGCAGATTTTCTAACTTCCATTTCTGGTGATTGGGAAGGATGATCAAGGTTCAAGGTTTTAAAATGCAGAAACAAGGGACAAAATTTGGCAAGGAACTTATACTTTGTAGATGTAGTTTTGTATATGTTCCATTAGATATTAAACTTCTCCTATAAAACTGTGTAAAGATACTAAGAACATTGAATGGCAAGAACTTTTTAAAACTTTCTAATACAAGTATAACCTCTTAGAACTAAATAACTTGTGCCTAAAATATAAAGATAGGTTTACTCACCTATTTGCAAGTTCTTCTTTTACTGTGTTTGCAACTCTCAAATCCAATTTTGGTCCATGCTGGTGTCCACCAAAAACTGCTAGCACATATGAAAATGAATTAATACACATCACTTAAGTGAAATCTTTGTAATACAAAATAAAGTTAACTAAAATTAACAATAAAATTGTTCAAGTTCAGAATCTAAGTACTAATCTTAGGTTAAGCTTTCAAAGAATCCATATTGAGAAACAAACTACTAATCATAGGGTAGTGCCTGATTCTTAATCTACCAAATCTATTGGTTCCAATAAAGCACAGTAGCATAGAAACACTCAATCTGTTAGAATATCCTTAAATTAGAAGAAATACTTTGATACTACACCTAACTTTAATCTGCTGTGATATAGAATAAAAAAAAAAAAAGCAATTTTTAAAAAAAAAAAATCTAAGTCAAAAAAATTTGGAAAACATCCTTAACTTTTGAAATATTTTAAAATGTGGTGCAATTTAAATAATACAGTAAGTACTGCTCTTAGGTTAAGCTTCAGGAATTATTTATGTATCTAAATAGTTTCATTACTCTACCAAAGCTCTTAATTGTTCTATAGAATGACTTATATATATACAGTAGAAGACTGATAGCTGAAACAAAGAATTCCAAAAAGTATTGGATTAATGGTATATTCATCCAACAATCAAAGAAAGGGCCAATTTGAAGTATATGAACTGGGTCTAAAATTGAGGACAATTTGTTAACAAAATTCTGTTTAATTAAAAGTGTCTATTGCCTTGCAAACTAAAATGAACAAACTTACAAACTATGCAATTATATGCATACAAACTAATCTAAAGAACAGGAAAAAAAATATAACATCTTAACCTATTTGCTTAGATCCCCATGCTGCTTTTAGTTTCTTTGATTGATGTCTTATTTTCTGCTTGATTCTCTACAATTCCACCAGAGCTTGGGTTATTCCATCCTCAACAAAATAAGACAAAGAAAAAAAAAAAAACAGGTTAGAAATTGTATCACTGTATTAAAGAACAACACCAAAAGGAAAGGATACACTGGCACAAAAAACATTTTTAGAGATATTTGGTGAGCTGTCGTAGGCTCCCAAATTAAAACCTTACATACGTAGTAGCGGGAGTAAGGATCGATCCCACGAGGAGTAACTAGTTTAACTTTTGTGCTCAATTTAAAGGTAGGGGGGGTTTGGAATATATCGAGAATAAAGATAAAATAAAGAGAATTTAAATAAACAAGAAATTTAATTGAACGAATAAAGCAATGAAAATGATATATCGAAAACACTTATAATAAGAAACCTTGGTTAGTAAAGATCCACCACCGGAATTCAACACTGATCATTGATTAACAAAGTAATTAATATGCAATTGAATATTTGTCGTGAAATTATTTCATTTCTGTTTTCCCTTAGTTGTAGGTAAATAAAGCACAAGCGGTTTAATTACCCCTAACTACTAAATAACCTAAGACAAGCGCTATAGATTTAATTTAATAGCGGCAATAGGAACTAGGAAAACCGACAAACTAAATAACACAAGCACAAGCGGTTGCATTTAATTTAGGAAAATATTCTTCCCGAGTCCAATTATCACTAAGCCGTCAATAATTAACCCAGTTGCTACTGAATATTAGAATAATTTGTAGCACAACATTATCTAATATAGCAAATAATTATATCAAGTAAATAACTAGTAGGCCTCCCTAGCAATTAAATGATACAACTATTCAAATAACTTAGAAGAATATTTAATACCCGAATACATAAAAATTATATAATAAAAATAAATAAATAATCTTACAGCGTAATGAACTCCGGGGCTTCAATTCACTAAACCAAACTAGAAATTAGCCGTGAATGGACATTGATAACAACCTTAAAGAATATTCGAGAGGGGAAGAATGAACGATTTTCAATAGGAAACCTACACTATTTATACTACTCTAAAAATATTTTCCAATCATTTTCCTACCACCCGTTTCCTACTTTTGTGCCGCACAACATAATCTTTTGACAATTCTTGTAATGATGCCGTGGGAATAGCGCTGCAATTGACGAAATGCTTCCAATTTGTTCGCTGGTGCGCCACATGATTTGTATGAAGCTTTGCCGCACGTCCTGAAGAAGCATTCAAATAATGTTAATTATTTTGTTTCTTTTGTCTTTAGGATAGGAATCGGACTAGCTAATAATACTAATATAAAAAATATATATATATATATGTTTATAGGATAGTACGTATTATATATATATACTAGTATGTATTATATATATTACTTATTATATATTATATATTATATATTATATATAAAAAGAACTAATTATTAGATAATATTAAATAACTAATGCAAAATTATTATAAAAATGTACCTAAAATATGAGCATAAAATATGCCTATCAAATTCCCCCACACTAAAACATTTGCTTGTCCCCAAGCAAAAATATTATTTGCGAAATAAATAAATAAAATCCCCAAAACTCATAACATATCATGAACAACAATCTGAAGCACTCTGCAATTAATAGGATAACACCCCTGTCTGAAAATTGAGAAAACTAAATAAGTAAGCCCTCACAGGAATATCACTCATCACTCAAGTGTTTGATGGGTATTAATTTCACTCAAGTTCATTCCTATAAAATTGCTCTACCATAGGCTTGCATATCTTCTCAATCACCACTACAAGAGTCATGCATGACACAAATCATAAGGACTTCCCACAGGTTGTAATGGGGCTAGGGTTAAGGTAGGGAATATTTAGGAAAGTAGCTTAAACAAAAGCTTTCAAACTAGAGGAGCAAATAAATACATATAATCCAAGATACTTGCTCAACACCAAGTATAGAATGCTTCCTCAGTATTACCAGAATTTCCCCTTACTTCATTTATTTAGAAGTAACTTCAACTCAAAATCAATTGCTGATTCTTTCTCATTTTCTCATAAATTTTCAGCAATATTTTTCTTTTTCAAACATATATTCTCCATTTTTCCATTTTTTCATTTTTTCAATTTCCATATTTTTTTTTGGAATCATGAATTGTCTTCGTTTTCTTTTTCATAGAAGACCAGTGATAAATCGGCAATGAAGATACAACTCACCTCATTCTCAATCATATTAACACAAGAAAGTGACCTCCCCCACACTTCTTCCTCACAACCTCACGTAGATTACAAGAATAATTCAAAATTTGCTCCACTAGTTATTCAACTGGGTGAAGGTATTATTTTTAGATATAAAAGGCTTGTAATGTGGTTCAAAATAAAGAAAAGAATGGCCATAAAGCTCAAAATGGTTAACAAGGGGAAATAAATCATAGGACAAACTGGTTATTTGGCTAGTGAGGCTCAAGATCAAATAATGGCCTTAATCACACTTGAATCATGCATGGTCTAATTAGCTTTAAAAGAGAATCAAGGCAAGTTCTAGAGAAACAAAATTATGGAAGAAATCGCACAATAGAAAGAAAATAAGACCAAAGTGTCAGTCAATGGCTCAAAACACTCACAGGTTTATTGCTTACTTAATATAGCCATTACATATCAAACGGGAAATGCTAACAAACTAATCACAATTTGCCAAATTATTTATTCAATCATGTTATGAATTCCAAGAAAGGAAAAATAAAATAATTTTTGGAAATTTTTTTTTTTTGAAAATAATACTTATTTTGCATAAAATACTAGTAAAATATTTGTGAAAATTTTGACATAAGCACACAAATAATAATAAATCTAAATCCCCTCCCCCACACTTATTATCAACATTGTCCCCAATGTTGAATAAAAAAGCACAGAAAAAGGATATTAAATGTAACAAAAAGAAAAGAGAAAAAAAAATAATAATAATAAAACAAACTCCCCTTCTAGTTGTTCATATTATTCAAAATAGCTGGGATCTTCAAGAAGTATGTCGGCAATATATTCAACTTGAGCCCCTTCATGGTAAGGTTTAAGCCGATGGCCATTAACCTTGAATATCTTTGAAGTCTGTAAACTTTGAATCTCTATCGCCCCATGAGGAAAAATATTAGTGATAATAAATGGACCAACCCAACGAGAACGTAACTTACCTGGGATTAGCCGAAGACGTGACTGGAAGAGGAGGACTTTTTGTCCAATTGAAAATTCCTTTCTCAAAAGCATCTTGTCATGGAATGCTTTTGTCTTTTCTTTGTAGATTCTTGAATTCTCGTAGGCCTCATTGCGAATCTCCTCCAACTCAGAAAGTTGCAACTTGCGGTGTAGGCCACTTTCATCAATTTTCATATTAAAGCTCTTGACAGCCCAATAGGCTCTGTGCTCTAACTCAACGGGAAGGTGACAAGCTTTCCCAAACACAATGCGATAAGGGGACATACCAATAGGTGTTTTGTATGCGGTTCTATACGCCCACAATGCATCATCTAATCGCAAACTCCAATCCTTTCTGTTTGGGTTGACTGTTTTCTCAAGGATTAACTTCACCTCTCGGTTGGACACCTCTGCCTGCCCATTAGTATGTGGGTGGTAGGCAGTTGACACCTTATGGGTGACATGGTACTTCTTAAGCAATGCTTCGATGGTGCGATTACAAAAGTGAGTACCCTGATCACTTATTATAGCTCTTGGAATGCCAAACCTGGAAAAGATGTTAGATTTGATAAAATCTGCAACAGCTTTAGAGTCATCAGTCCTGGTAGCTCTAGCTTCTACCCACTTCGAAACATAATCAACAGCAAGTAAAATATAGACAAAACCAAAAGAGGCAGGAAATGGGCCCATAAAATCAATACCCCAAACATCAAAGACCTCACAAAATAGGATCGGAGTTTGTGGCATTTCATTTCTCCGGGATAAATTACCTTACTTTTGGCAAGCATCACAACACTTGCAAAATGAGTATGAATCTTTAAATAAAGTTGGCCAATAAAACCCATAGTCCAACACTTTCCTTGCTGTTCTCTTAGCACCAAAGTGGCCGCCACAAGCATAAGAATGACAAAAGGCAAGGAT